CCATCCAGAGCCGGGGACAAACTGCAACCGAGGTACGTGCCCTTAGCGGGAACCGAACCCAGGTCTCTCCGAACCGCAGGCTGACGCTCTAACCGCTGAGCCAAACCGGCCAGGGTGATATCCTTTTCTAATTCATCCATCTAGAGGGGGTACCTTTTTCTGATTACACAAGGCACCTGACTGGCTCTCAATCCAGAATCAAGAACCAAGGGTTGTCAAGGTTTCTGGTGTTATGGACAACCTCCACGGAATTCCCAAGAATTGAAGCATCTCCCTAAAGTGGACTTAATTTAAAGGAGTTGTCCAAACAGACCCTGAGTCTGGCCTGTGGTTGATTGAGGCCATTGTAAGAGCCAGAGACCAGGAGAAGTAACGCGGCACAATCCCAGAAGGGAAATCCTCCTCCAGACCCCCTTCAGACTAGACAAGGAGGACACGGTGGAGAAGTAACTTTCAGAGATGAGGATCAGCAGCAGCCATGCAGGCTGTCAAAGGGGGTCCCTCACCGCCAAGGTGTTAGCAGCTAGAACGCTTTTAGCTGTCAGTAGCAGAACTGTTGGGGAAGGCGGTCTCATGAGTGCCTTCCCACCCCAGCTTAACTGCACTTGAATGGGCCTGGGGCGGGGACAGTTCCTCGCCAAGAGATAAGGAGCCCCCTTAGCCTGTGCTGGGCTTATGGCCTCATGAGAGAATCTTTTCCTGTTTCGGATTCGGTGAAAATGCACATGTCCACAGCCCTCAGGCAGGCCCCCAGATTCTTTTTTCTTTCTCTCTTTTTAGAAGGCTATAATACATCATCTGTACATTGCAGATTTCTGAATTTCAGAATCCACGGGAGAGGTCCAGTTCCTTCCCGAGCACAAAGCGCGGCGGCGTGTCGGGTTAGGTGGCTGGCGTGGCTGCGGAGCAGGGCCGCTGGTTGGGGGACTGACGCATTGCCAGGGCCTGGGCCTTCCACACTCTCTCCCCTCTCGCTCTGACAAAAGGCTGTAGCCACTCAAGCCGTGTGTACATACTGTCCGTTCCCGGCAACCTTGAATCATGCACTAATCTCTTCCCGGGGTGGCATTTGTTTACCTTTTCGCTTTGGTTCCACAGTGAAGCAAGAATCTTGGATCGACAATAACAATATTTAATCATATTATAAAGCAATAGGTTGGGAAATAAGCAATGCCAGAGCTTATTCAATAACTCAATGAGGCAACAAGAAACCCACTTTACTTCATTCTTTTTTGTTTGTTTGTTTATCCTCACCCGAGGACATGTTTGCATTTTTGCAGTGGGAGGGAGAGAGGGAGGAAGAGAGAAAGGGAAACATTGATGTGAAAGGGAGGCATCGTCTGCTTGCCACCCACACCACCCCAACCGGGGCCGGGGACAAACTGCAACCGAGGTACGCGCCCTTAGCGGGAACTGAATCTGGGTCTCTCTGGTCCGCGGGCCGTTGCTCTAACTGCTGAGCCAAACTGGCCAGGGACTGTTTGATGACTTTTAGGCCTCAGGCTCATCATCTTATGCTCACAGGTGGCTGCCATTGCCCCAGGCATCATATTCTTGAGTAACCCTCTCCAAAGACAGAAATCAGAGGGCACCCTGCACTTTAAGAGAACTTACCCCACATTCTACTCTCTTTTTATTAAGGGGGAATGATCATACTTTTAGAACACTATATCCGCATGTCTCATTGACTAAAAACTTTGACACGTGGTATGCTGGGAAAGTATTTCTAAACTTTTTTTTTGTGGGACACAGGCCCTTCCGGTCAGAAGAAAGAGAATGGAAATGTCTGTGGTGTAGGCAATGAACAAACTCCACACCGGTGTATAGACAGTGGTTTGAGTTGTCCCTTGGTTATCCATTTTGGATATGACTGACCCCTCACTGTACTATCCACTTCACACCTCACTCAGAGTTCCTTGATTAGACATTAGCACAGGACTTACACTTATTTGGAGGAGGAAGGTAAATGAATTTTGGGTAGCTTGTGGGAGAGTTGCTTTCGTGTTGAAAGGGTGCATTTTTGAGCCACGTGTAGGAGTCAGTGGGTATGCCTTGATTCTGGTCTTCTATATCGTGGACCAGGACTGAAGGATCTACTGTTGATCATCATCAGAGCTCATACTCACTTCCTCCCCTACCCGGTGACCCGGTGATTTGAAGAACTTTTTGCACAACAACGGGTCCTGTTGGGCTATCAATCACACTGTCTTGCCATCAATCACACTGTCTTGCCCCTCCCAACATTCTCAAGGGTGAGCAAAGGGCTCTGGCTGCTACCTTTGTAACCTCATGGTGATTGGACCAAGAATAGGCATGTGACCCAAGCAAAGCCAATCAGAGTCTCTCCTGAGTTTATGTAAAACTAGGATTGTCAATGACCATCTTTCCCACCAACAGACGTGAGTGAGGCAGAATGAAGCCATAGTGGTGGGGGGACAGGGGCACAGATGCAAGGGAGGTGGGGTGCAAGTGAAAGTGAGGGAGAGAGAGAGAGTTACTAACCAGACACACTCATGGAACACCCAATTATGGGAGATGATAATCTCTGCCCCTTTGTTTTCCTTGTTGCTTTCTTAACTGGTGTGTGTTTCTGCTATTTGCAACTGAAATAGAAATGAGACTGTTGTATTTATTATCAGTCTTCTCCACAAACATTCAAGGTCCATGAGGGCTGGAACTTTGGTTTCTGGTTGAATTCTGAGTACTTAGTGCCTGAAACACATTACCCCAATCAATATTTGTTGAGTTAATAAACAAACCCTGAATATTGAATCTCCGTGACCAGAACCCTGCTGTGTTTGTCAGAGCCAGCTGTCCACCAAGAATCTGTGTTGTCTTCCAGAGTTGTGGCTTTCCAGTTAGTAGGACGTCGATGAGACCATGTGGCCAGCTCTCACCAGAAGAATGAAAGCAACACATTGATGTTTCTCTTTCACATCAATGTCTCTCTCTAAATTCAATAAACATCCTCTGGTGATGATAAAAAACAAAGAAACATTTGTTCAAGGTCATACAGCTAGCAAGTGGCTAGTCCAGATTTTTTAATGTAGGACAGTTACTTCAATCTACGCCCTTCTGCATGGCCCCACACACTCTCATTTTACAGCAGAGGAAACTGAGGCACAGTGAGGGGAAAGGGATTGATCAGGACCATATAGACAGGGCTAGGATTCCTCCATAGAAGGCACGAGAAGTACCGGGGGTGTTCTGGGGCTGGCCGGATGGAAGCACTGTCTTGGCAGGAAGAGCAGGTACATGGAGCGGGGAGGCATCCGAACACAGTTCCAGAAGAGTTTCTCAGAAGATTAGGGCCCCGCCTCCTTTGTGCCCGGTGTTTGTCGCCATCTCAAGGAGGGCATGAAAGAAACATGTGCAGGAATGTCTACAAGCGCGGGGCTCTGATCCAAGACTTCCACCTCCTCTTGGTCGCTATGGCCCTTCCCTGTTGCACAGTTGGCTGGGGACCTTGCAGGAGATCCTTCCTTCTCTGACCTTCACTTTTTTTTTTCTTTATTGATTTTATTTTATTTCTATCCTCACCCAAGGACATTTTTTGTTCAGATAGTGTGGGAGGGAGAGAGAGGAGGAGAGAAGAGAGAGAAACATCGACGTGAAAGGGACTCATCGAGTGGTTGTCATCCACACAACCACAACCAGGGCCGGGGACAAACTGCAACCGAGGTACATGCCCTTAGCGGGAACTGAACCAGGACCTCTCTGGTCTGCAGGCTGATGCTCTAACCGCTGAGCCAAACCAGCCAGGGCCCCCCCATTCCCCCCCCCCTTTTTTTATCCTCACCTGAGGACACTTTCTCGTTTTTTGTTCAGATAGAGTGAGAGGAAGCGAGAGAGAGAGAAAAACATTGACGTGAAAGAGACACATCGAGTGGTTGCCACCCACACGACCCAACCAGCGCCGGGGACAAACTGCAACCGAGGTACATTCCCCTAGCGGGAACCAAACCTGGGTCTCTCTGGACCGCAGGCCGATGCTCTAACTGCTGAGCCAAACCGGTCAGGCCCCCTCCCCCATTCCCTTTTAAAGGCAGGACACACAGAGAGGTAGAAAGCCAGGCTTAGCCCACGACAGGTGCACATGGACACACTCATTCACATATCTGGCAAATAGGGACCGAGCCTGCCAGAGGCTTAGCGCACCAGCCCAGTGGCCATCAATCAAACTGGATCGTCCTGCACTTCTGGAGCTGACTGTAAAGGGGGAAACAGAGACACTGAGACGGAGATTAGGAGAGGCAGACGCGCACACAGGTTACCGGAGAGGATCAGAGGAACAGCCTGCACGGTGAACACAGAGCCAGAGGCAGAAAGAGAACCAACCGCCTGGACCTAGTCAGAGCAGTCTGAGGACCCAAATACCCCCCCACCAGGCTTCAGTCCTTCTGTCTGTCACCATCTACCCCCTTCACCTCTGAGTCTCACCAGTTCGTGTCTCTCCCCACTTCTGTTTCTCCCATCACTCCATCTGTGGCTGTCACAGAACAGAAGGTGAAGGAAGGGGGTCTGGAGATAGACACTGAGCACTGAGCACCCGAAGGCCATACAAACACAGGAGCTTGGAGGCGCACAAACACACAAGCACACTCAGATTCACACGGAGGGACACGCCGCCACCACCATGCAAAAGCCAACCCCCTTCACATAGGAATCCGTATAAATACATATAATCCCTCACACATGAAAAATACATACAAAAGCACATGCAGACCCATACACAGAAACACATCAGCACGTCTACAACAATACAAACCTATAAAAATCACATAAGCACACACACAAGCAGGCACGGGCTCCTGCTAGAGGACATGCAAACGAGGCCTCAAGCGGACAGTGCAGCTCACCCACACCCACGAAATAAACACACGGGTGCTCTCATGGGCACACATGCTAACCTTGCTAACCACAGCAGCGTCTCTGCCAACATCTGGGGAGAGATAGGGAGGGAGGGAGGGAGGGAGGAGGGAGGGAGAGAACAGGTTCTGGGCAGGAGGTATGAGCCCAGTACACTCTTTCAAGTTCACGCTCCTGCACACTGACAAGAGGGAAGGTGGGGAATGGGTGAGGTTACATAACCTAGTGGGAGGCAGACTCAGGATAAAGGCCCAGAGTGAGACTGTCAGCCAACTGGAAGGTCGTCAGACTGGGACCATGGAGCTCAGCGTCCTCCTCCTACTTGCTCTCCTCATAGGACTCTTGATTCTCATGACCAAGGGCCACCAAAAGGCACCTGGGCGCCTTCCACCAGGCCCCCGCCCTCTGTCCTTCTTTGGGAACTTTCTGCAGATGGACAGAAGAGGCCTACTCAAATCCTTCCTGAAGGTGAGGTGCAGGTGGATGGGGTCTGAGGGTGCTCCCAGTCTCTGGACTTGGGGATCCCTCACCAGAAGGAGTGAGGCATTGTTCCAGGCTCAGGGCGGGGGTGTGTGTGTGTGTGTGTGTGAAGGTGGGTGGGTAAGAAGAACGAGGCTGAAGCATGGTGGATGGTGGTCAGATAGTCAGAGGCATCTTGCTCAGGGGAAGTGTGTGGTCACAGTCTCTGGAGTGGACAAGTGGGTGTGAAGAGGTTTCTGGGTAGGAGCCACGGGTGTAGAATTTCATATCTTCCGCCACCTTCTGTCAAGTTCCTGGGTGCCTGCCCACCCCTGGAGAGAGAGAAAAGGGAGCCCTGGCATCAGTCATATTGGTTTCTCCTCTATCAACAAAAGAAGGGAAAGTCTGGTTCATGTCAATGCTGGGACAAAGCAGGAGGGGGCGAGCAGGGGGCCAGGTGCAAAGGGCTTACCAATAACGACCATCAACACGCTACACGTAACAGCTGACACTACGGAGTATTTACTAGGCTCTGTGTCACTGCTCTCCAGGCGTGAGTGCACGCTTGTCTGTTCATTCGTTCATACTGTAATCCACACCATGAACCCACTTCCCAGTGGGAGATCCGGAGCAGACAGTAATTCCAGCTGCCTCCTGCTTTGTGGTCCCGGCTCACTGCCCCTCCCCCAACATGGTGACACATGCCTGAATCTCGGGCTTGTCACTACCTTTGCTTTCAATAGAGAAAAAAATTCTGTCACGTAGGTGGAGGCCCCAAGTATGTGTGGTTTAGTTTTTGTTGTCTTCAATGTATCATTCTATAAATTCCTGGACTTAAGTTTCTTTCTTTTTTTAAAAAAATATTTTTTCTTTATTGATTGGAGAGAGAGAGGAAGGGAGAGAGGGAGAGAGATAGAAACATCAATGAGAGAGAACATCGCTTGGCCGCCTCCTGTATGCCCCCCACTGGTGATCGGGCCCACAACCTGGGCATGTGCTCTGACCCGAAATTGAACTGGTGACCTCTTGATGCATGGGTTGACGCTCAACCACTAAGCCACACTGGCCGGGCTGGACTTAGTTTCTTTCTTCAAAATTATGTGGCTGGGATCTACCTATATTGTCGTGGGAAATCATCAGGTCTTGCTTACAACAATCCTGGGAAATGGGTGATGTGCTATCCCCACGTTAGGGGTAGGAGCAGCGAGGCATAGCTCCAAGAAGGTACTTGTCCACCGCCACACAACAGAGACTTCACAGAGGGGAAGCTGGGGCCCGGCAGGGAGGTCTCTCATCTTCAGTGTCCTGAAGTTGTCTAAGAGTTTGGGAATCAGTCAATTTTTTGAGAATCTCATTAAAGTTTTAGGATCCCTCCCAATATCCACACACATCTTTGCATAAAATTTTGAGAGTTTCAGACCCCTAAAGTTCTTTACACAGACCTTCCAAGGATCCTCTGGGTGTCATGATCCCTCATTATTATTGCATCTTTGTGGAGAGAGAAAGAGAGAGGAAGGGGAAGAGAGAGAGAGAAATAGAGAAAGAGAAGGAGAGAGCATGAGCTAGTGGGTGTCTTGAGGGGAGGGGTTGGGGAAGGTATGGCTTCTCCCCCATTCCCTTATGTGCGCCAAATCCTTCTAGAGTCAGGCGTGGACTTGTGTTTCAGATTCAACTGTTCCTTATTGAGTCTTTTCTGTAAAATGAGATATGACAATAAGAATGTGTCCCTCATAAAAGTGTTGTGAGCATGAGAAGGGGTATTGCATAGAGCCTGGTGTATAGTAAATACTCATTAAGTGACAGTCACTTTGATCCACTCGTTCATTTATTCACTCATTCAATAGTACATTACAGGGCACCTTCTGTGTGCCAAGGAATATTCTAGGCATGGCATTGGACAGGGCATAAAACTAAGAAAATAAAACAAATAAGAAATATTAGGTAGACAAGAGCTGTGATTAAAATAAAGCGAGTTGCTTGCCATCTCTCGGCCTGCCTGGATTGGTGCAACGTAATGAAACTACAAGCACATGCTGGTTGGAGTGAGAGGGAGCTTTGCAAGAGAGCAAAATGCTCCAGATCTCTGGATGCAGTCCCATTTATTTGCAGATTGGTAAATTATTTCTTTGAGATGGCATTAGTGCAAACCATACACCCTAGCTTTGTCTCTTGGTTTTTACAGAAAGAGACCTTGAGGCCAAAGATAACAAACCCTTATTCACATGCAAATGAAACACCCAATATACTTGGGCAGGACAGGTTTTCCCCTGGGCCAGGATTCCAAGAATGCATTAACACAAGGTTGAGAGTGCTTAACACAAGATTATAAAACGTCCATCTTCCAACCTCCAACCCCACAGTTGCTATTTTCAAAAGTGGAGAAAACTACCTTAGATTGAATGCTGAGGAAAAGTCTAAACCCTGCTTTGTTTCTGGGCAGAGACCCCGAAAGATGCAGGGGGAAGGCATCAGAAAGAGGCAGGGGTTGGTGCAAGAATCACGCAGCATGAGCCAATTCAGCATCTTGGGGGACAACCTGGAGGCAGCATTTGAGTGAGAAAAGGGACCAGTGGGAGGAGAAGCAGAGGGTGATGAGGGCACATCATGCAGATTGGTGTGGACCATGGTGGAGACTTCAGGTTTTATTTTCAATGAGATGGGAGCACTGGAGGGCTTGGAGCAGGTCAGTGATATTCATTTACATTTTAATAGGATTATTCTGGCTTCAGGATGGGAAGGGATGAATAGATTGTAAAATGATTGTAGAGGGGCTAGGAATGGGGGTAGAGAGACCAGTGAGGAGGCTTTGCAGAGATCACTGTGAGAGATTTTTCATAAAAACTAAAACTTTTTATGATTGTAGGTCAACTTTTTACTGAAGTTTAACATCACCCTAAGAAGTGCACAAATCATAAGTGCTCAGCTCAGTGAATTTTCTAACAAACATAGTCACTCAATTGATATGTAGATAAGTAACATGGCCCACCCCGATACCCTTCCAGTCACTACCCTCCCGCTATCCTGACACCAGAGGTTCAGGTTACCTGTTTTCAACTTCATATAAATAGATTTATCACGTATGGACTCCTCTTACTTTCACTCAGCATTACGCCTGTGAGTTTCATGCATGTTGTTGGGTATAGCAGTGGTTTGTTCTTTTTCACTGCTGTGTAGTAGTCCATGGTATGGACACAACACTATATATTCTATATCGATGGTGGTGAGCATTTTATTAATAAGGTTAGAGTGAATCTCCTTGTCCTGTATTTTGGTAAACACAAGTACACATTTTTTGGACATGTACCTGAAAGTTGATGAGTCACTGCGTATACATGTGAACTTTCAGCTTCAGTAAATACACTGAGCAGTTTCCAAAGTGGCTGTACTGATGTTATGATGTTGTTTGTTTGTTTGTTTGTTTATTTATTTATTTTTAGCCTCACCTGAGGACATTTTTCCATTTTTTGTTCAGATAGAGTGGGAGGGAGAGAGAGGGAGAGAGGAAGAGAGAGAGAGAGAGATGTGAAAGGGACACATCGAGTGGCTGCCACCCGCACGACCAACCAGGGCTGGGGACAAACTGCAACCGAGGTACATGCCCTTAGTGGGAACCAAACCCAGGTCTCTCTGGACCACAGGCCGACGCTCTAACCACTGAGCCAAACCGGCCAGGGCCTGATGTTATGATGTTTTTAGATCTCATGATCACCCCAAGGGCTACTGATTTCTCCTCATGTCTGTCAAATGGGTTGGTCAGTGTAATTCTTTGGGGAAAGTGTCAGGAGGCAGACAGCAGGTTGGAAATTGAACCACAAAAAGATAATCCTACCCTGCAGGTGTGGCTCAGTGGTTGAGTGTCAACCCACGCACCAAGAGGCTGCCGTTTCAATTCCCGGTCAGGGCACATGCCCAGGTTGTGGGCCCGATCCCCAGTGGGGGGCATGCAGGAGGCTGCCAATCGATGTTCTCTCTCATTGATGTTTCTATCTCTTTCTCCCTCTCCCTTCCTCCCTCTAAAGGCAATAAAGAATAAAATATTTAAATAAAAGATAATCCTTTAGTTGTGATGCCAAGGAGATCTGGCCAGATTTAAGGAGATGGCAGGGGTGATAGCAGACATATTTAACCACCTGTACTACTTAGGGCACCAATCTATCATGCAGGCCCTGGCTCGGTCTTGGGTTAATCCTTTAGTTGCTGGGTCCTGGGAAGGGGAAAGGCAGACACAGATGAAGGGTTTGGGGATGGAGGCTGATTCCAAGTTTACATGTGTTGTTATGGCTTCACAGCTGTGGGTGTGGGTATGCTTGGCAGTTCCAAGACAAATACGGGGATGTCTCCACGGCGTACCTGGGGTCAAGGCCTGTGGTCGTACTGCGTGGGATAGAGTCCATTCGGGAGGCCCTGGTGGACCAAGCTGAGGCCTTTTCTGGCCGGGGCCAAATTGCTGTTATTGATCAGATCTTTCAAGGATATGGTAAGGGCCTGAAAGGCACCAAGAGGGGGCAAGGGATGGAGGGTGGGGGTTGGGGAAGGTGAGCCTAGTTAGGGAGAATAGGGGTGAAGAGGGACCCGGAGTCTCCTTCTAACTTCCTCTGCAACCCGTGCCTGCCTCCACCCCAGGTGTGGTGTTTGCCAATGGGAAACGTCGGAAGGCCCTTCGGAGATTCTCTCTGGCCACCATGAGGGACTTTGGGATGGGCAAGCGGAGTGTGGAGGAGCGGATTCAGGAGGAGGCACAGTGTCTGGTGGAAGAGCTGCGGAAATCCCAGGGTGAGCCCGGCGATGGGAAGGAAAGACAGACAGTGAGACAGAGAGGATCGGGGTGCGTGGCCACAGGAAGACAGGGGTATGTGGGCAGAGCCAGAGACGTGGAGCTGAAGAAAGACAGAGCCGGACAGGCCGTCAGACAGAGGGACAAGGACATGGAGATGAACAGAGATGGGAAGGAGAGTTTCATGGGGGCACCAGAAGGGCTGTGGGCTGTATAGTGTCAAGAACAACTCTTCTCACTTTTTCTCTTGACTATTAAAAAAAAAGAACAACTCAATGACGCGAACTTAGATATTAACACACTACTTACATGTGCTCAGGGAAACCGATTCATGGATCAGTTGTATCTATCAAAGCAAAACAGGACGTATATGATGGAAAGCAAAGAGAGAAAAGAAAAACTGCAGGCATCTGGGAAACAAGGGAGTCTGTTTTCCCTTCCTTGGGTGGCAGAGAGCGCACAGGGGCTCCCTGCTCTTGCAGTTGCGTGGGCCGTCAGAGAAGCACCCGCTTGCTTTTGGCTTCTCCATGAAACTGCTGTTCATGAGACATAAAGGTAACAAGGTCCTTTCTCAGAAACAGACTGACACAGACATAGAGACAGAGAAGGAGGCAAAGACAGTGATGGAGGGACCAAGACAAAGAGACACACAGAGACAGAGTGAGTGGGGGAGACTGGGTAAGGCAGAAAGAAACAAAGGCAGAGAAAGTTAGAGAGACAGACAGACAGGCTCAGAAAAGGGTCTGCAGAGGAACAAGAGAAGGTGGACGGGTGACACCCACAGAGGAGGACCGCACCCACCTGATGCCCTGCACTCCTGAGCTCACAGCACGCCCTCCCTTTCAAGGGACTAGCCCAGTATACAGTTGTCAGTAAACAAGTGCAGATCAACTTTCTGAACACCAGAGATCCCTAGAGGTGAACCAAAGAAGTAAGAGGAGACACAGAAGAAGGGCAGGGAGAGCAGAGCTTCTAAATTTTGACATGCAATTGATTGCACGCCTGTACTGCACTCCCCTTGGCCCTGGGACCTGACTGTACCTGTTCCCCGAGTCAGAGCTGGGGCTCGACGGGGGGCCAACCACACAGCCTCTGTAGCCAGGCTGCCTGGGTCTGAACTCTGGCCCCCATGATGAGTCACTGGGTAACCCTGGTCAAATTACTTAACGTCCCTGTTTGCCCATCTATGAAATGGGGAAAAAGAACTGCACCTTCCTCACGGGATTGAGGTGAGAATTAAATAAGATAATATGGGAAGTGCTTAGACTAGGGCCTGGCACATCATACAGGCTAGTGAGAGGTAGCTGTTATTCCTGTTTTCTTTATCTATCTATCTATCTATCTATCTATCTATCTATCTATCTATCTATCTATGTGTGTGTATATGTATATATATGTTTTTTATATATATACATTTTTATTGATTATTGATTTTTTTTAGAGAGAGAGAAAGATAGAAACATTGAAATGAGAGAGAAACACCTATCGGCTGCCTCCTGCACGCCCCCTACTGGGGATCAAGCCCACAACCTGGGCATGCGCCCTGACCGGGAATCGGACCGGGAATCGAACCGGGACCTCTCAGTCCATGGGACAATGCTCAATCCACTGAGCCACACCGGCTGGGTGATTCCTGTTTTCTTTATCATTACTGAGCGATGAAGGACAGTCACACAGAGATGGGGCAGCAGCCAAGTGCTCCCCAGGCATCTGAGTCTATGTCTTCTGACCTGCCACCTCCTCCTAGGAGCCCTCCAGGACCCCACCTTCACCTGCCACTCCATCACTGCCAACATCATATGCTCCATTGTCTTTGGGAAACGCTTTGCCTACAAAGACCCTGAATTTCTGAAGCTTACGCACATGTCCTGCCAGTCCTTCACACTCATCAGCTCCTTCCCCAGCCAGGTCAGGGAGAGGGTGCAGGAGGGTGGGCAGAAGGTGAACATCCAGGGAACGGTAAAGGGGGTGATCTGCTTTGGGGCCCCAGAAGTGTAGCTTCTGGTTGGAAGAGGGACAGGGACAACAGAGAGAGACAGAGGCACAGACAGCTGGAGGGAGAGAGAGATGGCAAGACAGGGCCTGAGAGACTAAAAGGAAGAAAGGGGAGTGAGGGAGGAGGAGAACAGTCGGAGAATTCGAGGGAGAGAGAGGAGAGGAAAAGAGAGAAGAAAGAGAAAACAAGACCAAATAAAGGCAGAGATAAAGAGATCCTCAGAGACAGAGTTGAAAAGGGTGTGTGTGTGTGTGTGTGTGTGTGTGTGTGTGTGTGTGTGAGAGAGAGAGAGAGAGAGAGAGAGAGAGAGGAGAAACAGGGAAACAGAGTCCCCTCTATCAGAGGGTTAGGGCCCAGGAGAGCTGTCCCTTCCTGTGACCACTAGCTCAGCCCCGGGAGGACCTCAAAGCCCCTTGTCTCCCGCAGGTGTTTGAGCTCTTCCCCAACTTCTTGAAGTATTCCCGGGCACACACAGGCACATCTACAGAAACCTGCAGGAAGTCAAAGACTTCACTGCCCACAGTGTGGAGAAGCACAGGGAAACCCTGGACCCCAGCGCTCCCCAGGACTTCATCGACACCTATCTGCTCCGCATGGACAAAGTGGGGTTTGGAGAGGGGCATGGAGGCGGGGTAGGAAAAGATGGGGGCGGTGAGAAGGAGGGTGAGGGATGGAAGAACAGAGGATGAGGAGATGAGGGAAGGGGAGGGGAGATGTGGAAGGGAACATAGGGGTGATAAAAGAGAGAGAAACTAGGGAGGAAGCAGGGAGGGAAGGAGAGAGAGGAGACATACAGGACAAGGAGCAAAATACATGGCAACAGGCGAAAAGACCCACAGAGGCAGAGAGAGGCTGGGAGAGAAAGTGAGACAAACATGCCCAAGAGTTGACTGAAACAGCCAGAATGAAGACAAACCGAGAGACAGAGATAGAGACAGATGGGTGGACATGCCGAGGACAGAGAAAAGTAAAACGGACCAAATGGTGTGAGAGACCCAGAAACAGGTGGGGGGCCCGCGATTTGCACATGCAGCCAGGTTCCAGCCTCCCTGATGAGAACCCTGCCCCTCTGAACTCAGGAGAAGTCCAACCCAGACAGCGAGTTCCACCAGCTGAACCTCATCAACAACGTGCTCTCGCTCTTTTTCGCGGGCAGAGACCAGCAGCACCACTCTCTCCTACGATTCCTGCTCATGCTCAATACCCGCACATTGCAGGTGCACAGGGCGGCCGACCCAGGGCAGGCCTCCGATCCCTTTTTGGCTGTAGAAGGAATAGGGGTCCTGCCTAAATGAGAGAGGCAGCATTCCCCTCTTAAATCAGGAACACTGCAGGTTTGAATGAGCTGCCAACTAAGCCAGCCCTGTTGGTGGATGGATGGATGAAGACTCTGCCAATCTGTTTTCGCTGATCACTTAAAGATTCACCCATCCATCTACTCATCTATCCATCTATCTGTGCTTTTATCCACTGATGGATCTGTATGCTCAGATTCTTTTATCTCGGATTCGCCCAAGAACATGCACTTCCATTCTTTATTTGGATTAATTGATTCACCTGTTATTCCTCTGAAACGCTTGTTAATTGAATGAACTATTTGTCATTGATTCACGGGCTCGTCCATCCATTCATTCACGCATCCATCTATCCTTCTATGTACTAGGTTTCATTCCTTAATCCTTCCATCAGTCAGTAATTCATCCTTAACCTTCTACCTCGTCATTTATTAATTGTATAATTCGCTCACTTATTCATGTATCATCAAATCACCATCCATTTATTACTTTATCTACCTATTTCTCCACCAACTTTATTCACTTATTCTTCCATAAATTTAGCCATCCATTTATTCATGTGATTGGTTAATTAGGTTTATGTATTTATTTGTCTATGGGTCATTTATTAATTAATGATTTATTAACTCATCTACTGATTGATAAGTAAATACATACACTTATTAAATAATGTTCTTCCATTCATCAGTCTTTTCATTTATGAATTGATTGAATAATATCTTCATTTATTTATCCAGTTGTTCACGGGTTCATCTATTGATATATGTCACTGTCATATTCCTGAGGACCTAGCACACAGTGCCTCATTTATAATACACACACAGCAAGTATTAGTTCATTTCCACTCATCTTAGAGAAGCAATTTTGACAGGTTCATAGCCTCGAGTTATCAATCTGAAATTTTATGCAAAACTGTGGTGTGTGTGTGTGTTTCCCTGTGCATATAGGGAGAGAATCTCTAACATTCATTAGATTTCAAAAAGTGAGAATATGCTCCCCCACCCCAAGCAGGTTATCCTGAAGAGTGTCAATGACCTGACACTTCACTGTAAGTTTTTCCTGGCTCATTGGCCCATAGAAAGCAGTGTCCCTACTGAAATGCCCCTTTAAATGAGGTTCACTGGTCCCACTCTTCTGTGCAGAGAAAGTCCACAAGGAGATTGATCGAGTGATTGGCTCACATCGCCCTCCAGCCCTCGATGACCGAGCCAAAATGCCATACACTGAGGCAGTCATCTGCGAGATTCAGAGATTCGCAGACCTGGCCCCCTTGGTATGCCTCATATGGTCATCAGAGACCCTGAATTTCGAGGGAGCATCATCCCAAAGGTGAGGCCAGCCAGGCGATCACATCTCCCCTGTGTGGGATCCTTAATCTCCAAACTTGATCTCTTGTTATTTTATCACCAGGGCCTCTTGTTTCATGGTGTGTTTTCAGGGTGGGGTGGGGAAGGAAATTGTAATATTTTTTATCTTATGATCATCCCTCAGGGCACTGTAGTGTTTCCCGTCCTATACTCCGCTCTCTTTGACCCATGTTACTTTGCTACACCGAACACCTTCAACCCTGACCACTTTCTGGATGCCAGTGGGGTGCTGAAGAAGAATGACGCGTTTATCCCCTTCTCCGTAGGTAAGCTGGATCTGCACTCGCTTCCCCACACACCAGAGTGCAGGTGTCTCCTCCTCCTTGAGACGTCAAGGAGAGGTTTTGGTTTATTGAGCGGTTAGTACATGCCAGTTGCTTTACCTTCATCATCCCATCCCATACTCACTACAACCCCAGAAGGGGTTTAAGAGTGAGATCACAACCCAACGGCACACCTCGGTACGCTGGACCTTGGGAAAGTGTGTTTACCTCTCTATAGCTCTGTATAAGATAGCAGTTGAGCGCTATGCTCCGGGCCCAGCGGTTTACGGGGGCTGAATATAATGCATCAGACAAGTCACAAAGACAGAGAAACAGTGCCTGTCAGAGGTGAAGACAGAAAACAAACAAACAAAAACAAACAAAAAACTGAGGCCAGCTGCCGTGGGCAGAAAGAAAGACAAACCAACTCAAAGGAGTTAGAGACAAAGATCTACCGAAAGGCGCCTGAAGAACAGCCCCGGTGATGGGGGAACAGGCTTTTCTCGGATGAGGTGGGTCATGGAGCCAGTTACAGGAAGGGAAATGCCAGGGCCCTGCCCTGAGGATTTCTAGGTCATGTGTCCTAACTCTGGGTGTGCCAAAAGTGTGACCTCTTCCCCAGATACCTCCACACAGGCACCGTGTCTAACAACTGGAAAGGGTTAGGAAATTCCTAGAAGCCCATCCTAGAAATGGCCTTCTCAAGGCAATCAACAGGCAGATTAGGAACCGACGAAGTAATGGAGGAGACTCTCGGTGTCTGCCTGCCCTTTCTGGCTCCCTTAGCCCTCATTTCTCTCCAAGCCAGTAGTTTATAACCTATGGGAGGTGGGGGGGCATACACCTCTGAGGATCTGATGGAAGCCATAGACCTACCTCACGCGCATAAGTCCCAATCACAAATGTATGGATAATATGGTGTGGTGTTTTTTTTTCCTCAAAGCTGAGATAAGAAACAAAACAGATATAAGGAACGAAACAGAAACAGACCATAGATACAGAGAACAAACTGATGGTTGCCGGAGGCGAGGAAGCTTGGGGGACTGGGTTAAAAGGTGAAGGGTGTTAGTTAGAGAATATTGATGGGGATGTAAAATACAGCACAGGAAGCACAGTCAATAATATTGTAATAACTATGTATGGTGTCCGATGGGTAGCAGATTCATAGGGGGATCACCTTGTAAATTATATATATATACTATACTGGACACCTGAAACTAATATAAAATAATATTGACTACCAACTATAAGTGAATAAATAAAGAAAGAAATCAACCCAGAGATGAACAATCACACACACTGCCAGACACTCACCCCACAGTCCCCACCACACACACCTGGAAAAAACACACAAGTACCAACTACACCTACAGGATCCTTAGTTTGGACCAGGTGCTCTTCTAAAAATTTTTACAAGTATTAGCTTTTTTAACCTCACAATTCTCCAAATGTTGTCAGAAATATGCACACATTACACATGTGGAGGCATGTGTGCGCACGCGTGCACGCACGCACGCGCACACACACACACACACACACATCCAACTGGATGATAGTACTTAGACTTCGTGAGGCCAACCGAATCTTTGGAAATCTAGCAGAAGCTACAAACTCTCCCCTGGAAAAAGCTGCATGAAAGATTTGCACCCCACCCTGGCTGGTGTACCTCAGAGGTTAGAGCATCGGCCTGTGCACCAAAGGGTCAAGGTTTCGATTTCCGGTCAGAGATACATACCTGGGTTGCAGGTTCAATTCCTGGCCCTGGCTGGGGCATGTGTGGGAGGCAATCAATCAATATGTCTCTCTCTCTCTCCCTGTCCCTCCTCCCTTTCACTCTTTCTAAAAATCAATGGAAAAAATATCCTCGGGTGAGGATTAGCAACAAAAAAGATTTGCACATCGTTTCAGAGGTTTGGGAACCCCTTAAAGTCCACCCTGAATTGTAAGTGAAGGGCTAGTCCCTTGCTAACCAGTTGCAATGGACACAGGTGTCTGGGCTTTGGGAAAGGAATATGCATCTGCTCCGCGTTCATATTTGTGATCTTCTGTGCCCACAGGTAAGCGCAGTTGTCTTGGCGAAGGCATCACCCGTGCGGAATTATTCCTCTTCTTCACCACCTTCCTCCAGAATTTCTCCGTATCCAGTCCCATGGCCCCTGAGGACACTGACCTTACACCCCAGGAGAGTGGAATGGCCAAACTGCCCCCAGTGTACCAGATCCGCTTCCTGCCCCGCTGAAACGGTGGAAGAAAGGAGCTCAAAGGATTTCAGGGTCAGGAGGTATCCCCACCTCTGCAGGGAATGCCCCCTAACTCTGTCCCTGTTCTGCATTGGAGAGATCTGCTACAAGCCAGTCCTCCTTGTTCCTCCGTGGTTGCCTCCTCCGTGAGAAAGTCCCTCCCGCAGTCTTGCCTCCTTCCATGGAGCTGCGGCTCTTCTAAGACTCAAGGAGGTGTTTTCCATTCCTCTGTTAATGGAATTCCAGAAGTGGTGTGTGTATAGAAACTGGAGGTTGAAAGAGAAGACAGCTCAGGATCTCTCTGCTGTTCTGCCTCCCAGGCCACTGCTCACTCTGAGTGGCTTCTCCCTTCCTTAGAACAACCACAGCCTCCATCTCACAGTTCCCTCTGCTCCATCATCTGTACATACACGCTCTCACTCCCAATAGCCATGCGTGGTGGGAACAATGATCAAGTCCATGGTCCAGATAAGAAAGCAGAGGTGAGGCAATGCATCGGTTGTCCGAAGTTACATGGACAGTGAGTGAAGGAGCAAGATCCACACTCAAGTCTCTGTGGCTCCTTTACCAATGTTCCGCCCACCCCTCAGAGAACAACAAAAAAAACCCAACCATTTTTATTAGTGTAATTTAGTGCTTTCTGTGTCTCTGGATTTGTCTTTTTCATGTATTTCCTATGATGGAATCACATAGTATGTGGTCTTTGGGAATGCCTTCTTTCACTCAGCGTGCTATTTTCAAGATTCATCTACGTTGTAGACTGTAGTGCCCAGCCATGGTCCTGCTGCCTCCTAACCTTATGGTCTTTCCCTTTCCTTTTCAATATTAAAGAGTCTCCTCAGACCATGGCCTCCTGATTGGTGTGATTATAAACTAGTGCTTTGGACTCCCTGATATACCTCTTCAAGTCCACTGAGACTCAAATAAACATCCAAACCCTGACACCTCCGGGTCAGGTGGTGACCCATGCCACTTTACATGTGACCCATTTATTGTCAGGTCACTAGGAATCTTTCTGGAAGGTGAATACTTCGACTTCAGCTCAATGCCAGCTCCATGAAGGCAAAACCATTGTCTTGTTCATCACTGTTCTCTCAGCACATAGAGTGTGTGGCATATAACAGGTATCCAAAATATTTACTCAGAAACGAACGAACGAATGAATGAATGAATGAATGAATGGCTAAATCTGGCAACCTTCCAAACTACCAACATAGAGTTAGTTTCCCCCCATCAGATCACATGTCCTCCAGTCTCAATTTGATGCATCAAATAAATCCCTGTCCCCAGTGGGCCCAGGCAAGGTGTGTCTGGGAGTGACGTCATTTCATGGTGGAGGGTGGGAGAGACAGATGGTTCTGTGTCTGGAAGGATTGATGTGGGGGTAGAGCTGACAACAGCCAAAGGAACCTCCACCCCTCTCCTGTTCTGTCCTCTCTGTGATCCTCGTCTCCAGTGCTCAGGCAGAGGGGCTGGGGCTGGAGTGGGAGGAGGGGCTTAGCGCATATGTAAGAGACTTTGCCTCTTGTAAATATTTTGATTATTATAAAGCATACAGCAACCTATTGTTCCACATTATAAAACGTTTTGTAGTTTAAGAGCACTTTAAAATTACAAAACAAGTCCATGTAGACAGATCATTTCACAATTTATAAAATGTGCTGCCCTGAGCAAACCCACATTTCTGTTTACCTAGGACTCTGTGGTATAAAAGCCCCTGTTGTTCTGAGAACATTGTGAACAAAGATTTTAGATGGTATGTAGGATAAGCATTCATAACCACTTTGTGATTTAACAAAGGATTTCACAACTTAGAACACTTTTTCTGTTTCCAAACACCTTAGGAGAGTGCACTGTTATAAAGTGATTTTCCATATTTCAAAAAAAAACCAAACGTATTTTATTAATTCCTTTGTAGTGTTCACAAAGAAGTTGCTTTTCTTTTTTTTTTGTTTATCCTCACCCGAGGATATTTTTCCATTTTTTGTACAGATAGAGTGGGAGGGAGAGAGAGGAAGGGAGAGAGAGAGAGAAACATCGACGTGAAGGGACACATCGAGTGGCTGCCACCCGCACGACCAACCAGGGCCGGGGACAAACTGCAACTGAAGTACGTGCCCTTAGCGGGAACCGAACCCGGGTCTCTCCGGACCGCAGGCCAACACTCTAACCGCTGAGCCAAACTGGCCAGGGCAAGAAGTTGCTTTTCATATGGCCTTTACTTCTACCTGCAGAAAACATCAAAATATGCCCTGGCTGGTTTGGCTCAGCAGTTAGAGTGTCAGCCCGTGAACCAAAGAGTTGCGGGTTCAATTCCGGTCAAGGGCACATACCTCGGTTGCGGTTCTGTCCCCAGCCCTGGTTGAGGTCATGCGGGAAGCAGCAGCCAGTCGATGTGTCTCTCTCACATCGATGTTCCCCCCGCCCCCACTCTATCTAAAGATAAATAGAAAAATATCCTAGGGTGAGGATTGAAAAAAAAGAAAATATTGAAATAGAACAGCACTTAATGATGGCTTACACATTTCTAAACCACCTGCCGGGCTGACAGAGGACTCACTTGATAACTGTTCACTGGTGTCTACAGTGGGTCAGGCAGTGCTCAGACTGGGGTTAGGCAGTAAACCAGGAAGATGTCTTGCCCTGTTGGAACCAACACCAAATGGGGGAGAAAATAAATAAACAAGATAATGGCAGACAGTGATAAATGCTATGAGGAGAGAGTTGAGTGGCAATGATAGAGGGTGAATAAGAAGGGCTGGGAGCCTGGCCGATGTGGCTCAGTGATTGAACATTGACCCGTGCACCAAGAGGTCGCCAGTTCGATTTCCAGTCAGGGCACATGTCCAGGTTGTGGGCCCGATCCCCAGTGGGGGTGCATACAGGAGGTGGCCATTCGATGTTTCTATCTCTCTCTCCCTCTCCCTTTCTCTGTCTCTAAAATCAATACAGAAAAAAATATAATAAATTAATTAAATTTAAAAAATAAAGAAGAAGAAGGGCTGGGAGCTTATTGAGAGCAAGGGTTTTCAGTCACAGAGCAATGCAAAAATACTTTCCCAAGCAATTGCCTATCTACAATGTGCTTTCCTATTTACAAAGCACTTTTGAAGTCATCATCATGCTTGACTCTTAATTAACTTTGGGAGGTGAGTCAATATCATAAACTAGTGTTGGTTCTGGAAGAGGTTATCTAGTCCAATCCCATCTCTCAGACATTAGGAGACTCAGATCTAAGAAGGGAAGTGGATATTCAATGTCTCAGAGGAGATCGATGGATGAGCCAAACCTGGAACTGAGGATTCTAGACTCCTCCTGCTAGCCCCTCTCCATCACAATGCGTGTTCACAGAACGCTGGAATTGGGGGTGTGTTGTGGGATGGAGCCCTTTTGCCTGTTGAATCTAATGCTAACTACAGGTAGTTAGTCTCAGACTAGAATTAAATTGTAGGGTACCTCATTGGTGTCAGAGAATTGATGGCAAGACAGATACGAGGCAATGGAGTATTGAGGAAGAAATAAGTGGGGAGAAAAAAGAGAAGAGGAGGGCTAAAGGAAAGGAAGGACAAGAACAGAAGAAGGGGGCTTTGGCCAATGTGGCTCGGTTGGTTGGGTGTCATCCTGTGTACTGAAAGGTTGCTAGTTTGATTCCCACTCAAGGTACATGCCTGGGTTGCAGGATCCCCAGTAGGGGGCATGCAGGAGGCAGCCAATTGATGTTCCACTCTTACACTGATGTTTCTCTAAAAATCAATTTTAAAATCTTAGGGAAAAAAAAAAAAGAAGGAATGGTATAATGGATAATAGGTAGGAAGAGACAAAGAAACACACACAAAAATGACGAATGAATGAATGACCTTTGATATGCCACACAATGTAGTAGGCATGTTCTTATACCTTACCTAAAGGGATTCTAATATAGGGTGACAGAAGATGATTTGACTTTGGGTGGTGGATACACAATGCAATATACAAATCATGTTAACTATCCTGCACCCACCAATGTAAAAGAAGTATGTGTCTCTTTATTTAACTTTTTATCCAATCCCAGAGATTTCCCCATTTGGCTTTCTCCAGCCTCCCTAATCTATCACCAGTGAATTTCATTTAACCCTCCTTATGCCTTCCTCCTCTGATTGTAATGTATAAAATAAGCTGCAAAACTGCTATTCTCCAGAACATTTTCTCAATCCACTGAGATTTTGCTTCCCGGCAATTGTCGTCAGCTTGGCTCAAACAAACTCATAAAAATGCTTACAGGTCTGGATGTTTCTTATGCTGATATATTAAATTCCATTGAGTTGTTCACTCAATGAAATGGTTAATTTTATGTTACAGGACTTTTACCTCAATGAAAACAGTGCCCGTCATGTAGTAAGCACCTTTAATTCCTATGAATTTTAACTCCTGGCACCATGTTATAGGACAGTATTGGTTAATATTTGGAATTCAAGTGACAAAAGTCCAAACTGAGCTGATGTAGGTAAGAAAAATAATATATTAGAAAGATACTGGTGTATCAGCTGCATGTGATAGAAGAAAACAAAAATGAATGGCTTGAAATGTTATTTCTCTCCCAGAAGTGAAATTGTTGAGTCATAAGGCAGTTCCATTTTAATTGTGTGTGTGTGTGTGTGTGTGTGTGTGTGTGTGTGTGTTAATCCTCACCTGAGGATATTTTTCCATTGATTTCTAGATAGAGTGGAAGGGAGGAAGGGAGAGAGAGAAACATCAATATGAGAGAGACACATTGATTGGTTGCCTCCCACATGACCCCAACCGAGGCTGGAATCAGACTTGCAACCCAGGTAAGAGTCCTTGACCAGGAATCAAACCCATGATCCCTTGGTCTTTGGGCTGATGCTCTAACCACTTAGCAAACCCAGCCAGGGCTTTTGCCCATTTTTTAATTGAATTGTTTGTCTCCCTGGTTTTGAGTTGTATGAGTTCTTTACACATTTTGGAAATTAACCCCTTATCAGATGTATTACTGGTAATATGTTCTTCCATATAGTGGGTTGCCTTTTCATTTTGTTGATAGCGTCTTTTGCTGGGCAGAAGCTTTTTAGTTTGATGTAGTCTCATTTGTTTATTTTTTTTCCCTTTGTTTCCCTTGCCCTAGGAGATATATTGGCAAAAATATTCCTACGAGAGATGTCTGAAATTTTGCTGCCTATATTTTCTTCCAAGATTTTAATGGAGTCATCACTTACATTTAAGTCTTTCATCCATTTAGAGTTTATTCTTGTATATGGCATAAGAAGGTGGTATTGTTTGTTTGCTTCTTTTTTTTTTACATGTACCTGTTCGATTTTCCCAACATCATTTATTGAATAGTCTTCACCTGCATATTCTTGCCTCCTTTGTCAAATATTAATGAATCATATAGGCATGAGTTTATTTCTGGGCTATTCTGCTCCATTGATCTATATATCTGTTTTTATGCCAGTACCAGGCTGTTTTGATTACTATAGACTTGTAGTATAGTTTGATATCAGACAGCATGATACTATCAACTTTGTTCTTCTTTCCCAAGATTTTTGTGGCTATTTGGGGTCTTTTGTGGTTCTACATAAATTTTTGAATTATTTGTTCTAGTTCTGTGAAATATGTCATTGGTATTTTGATAGGAATTGTGTTAAATCTATAGATTGCTTTGGATAGAGTGGGTATTTTAATGATGTTAATTCGTGCTATCCATGAGCATGATATATGGTTGCATTTATCTGTATCTTCTTCCATTTACTTCTTCAGTGTCATAATTTTCTGAGTGCAGGTCTTTTACCTCTTTGGTTAAATTTATTCTTAGAGAGTTTTTTTATGCAATTGCAAATGTAATTCTTTTCTTAGTTTTCCCTTCAGATAGTTTATTATTGGTGTCTAAAAATGCAACCATTTCCAGATATTTATTTTGTATCCTGCTACTTGACTGAATTTATTTATCAGTTCTAATAGTTCTTTGGTGGAATCTTTAGGACTCTCTCTATACAGTATTATGTCATCTGCAAATAATGACAGTTTAAAACCTTCCTTTACAATTTCAATAGCTTTTATTTCTTCTTCTTGTCTGATTGCTGTGGCTAGGACTTCCAGTACTATTGTGAATAAGAATGGTGAAAGTGAATTTCCCTATCTTGTTCCTGATTTTAAGGGAAATGCTTTAAGTTGTTCCCCATCAAGTTTGATGTTAACTCTGGATTTGTTATATATGGCCTTTATTATGTTGAGAAATGTTCCCTCTATTCCCATTTTGCTGAAAGTTTTTTAAAATCATAAATGGGTGCTAGATTTTGTCAAAAGCTTTTTCTGCATCTATTGATATGATCATAGATTTTTTATCCTTCATTTTGTTTATGTTGTGCATCATGTTAACTGATTTGTAAATATTGTACCAACCTTGCATCCCAGGAATAAATCCCACTTGGTCATGGTGTATGTTTTAATATATTATTGGATTTGGTTTGCTAATATTTTGTTGAGAATTTTTGCATCTATGTTCATCAGGGATATTAGCCTTTAAATTTTCTCTTTGTCTTTGGTTTCCTGAAGTTTGACTATAACATGCTTACATTGGGTTGTTTGGTATTTACTCTGTGGGTGTTTTTTGAACTTGGGTCCGTGTTTTGGTGTCTGTCACCAGCAGAAGGAAAGAAATTCAGAAGCCCCATTTCCTAACCTTCCTACTCTCCAATAGAAGAATGACCCCTGTGCCAAATTCACTTTCTAAAATTTGTTTTCTAAGATTCTAAAAGTTTATTTTTATTTGGACTGAGAGCAACAGTCATGCACTGGTAGTACCTTCCTGCTCCTGATGAAAACATCCACAAGGTGAAAGGTCATTCAGCCCCTCTCCCCACAGCTCCTCACTTTTCCAAAGCGGACCTTCACTCCCAGTGGAAAAAAATCCATAGACTTCTGAAAACTTAAAATCATAGAACTGTGGAATCCTCAGAAAAACAGGTTCTGAGAACCATAGTATCCTAGAAAAATGCTAGCTTGGGGAGGCTGTTTAGTTTAGTCTTGGAATCATCCCATAGAACAATTCCCATAATGGGTATTCTTAGATCTTGATGTAAGAACATTCAAACCTGTAAACAATTTTTATAAGATTGCATTTGAGCCAAACAGATGACAACTGCCAAGAAGCAAGACAAAATGTCACACCTACCTGGGTTGCAGGTTTGATTCCTGGCCCCAGTTGGGGTCATGTGGGAAGCAACCAGTCCATGTGTCTTTCTCATGTCGATATTTCCCCCCTCCCTTCCTTTCTCCCTCCCTCCCTTCCATTCTATCTAAAAATCAATGGAAAATTATCCTCAGGTGAGGATTAACAACAACTACAACAACAACAAAAAGACAAAATCTCAAATGCCCCAGATGATGACAGTTTTGTACTTTCTTTTATATATTTGAAATTAAAGAGGGAACTCTGAACTAGAAATATTTCTAAGGCCCCTTCAACCTCTGACATGATGTAGTTCTAGGCTGGAACTTCAAGCTGGAGCATCACAATGAGAGGAGATGTAGAAAAGAAGTTGGGGGTAAACGTAAGTATCAGGGGGACTTCCTAGAGCATACATAGATTATGGCATTAAATTACATAGACTCACAGAAGCTATGGACAACAACAGATTTTTGTGCCGACACTCTTGGCTTTGTCCCTGGAGTGGGATGGTGACAGGGGCTGTTCTAAGGAAACTTTCTTCTTTTCTGCACCATCGTGGATAATTAAAAGACTGGTTCTGACTGTGCTGTGTGTTTGGCATGGGGGCAGAGTGGAAGAGAGGCAACAGCTGGGAGAGTCAAACTAGAACTGACTCTTACTCCACAAAGGACATCCTGCCAGGAGATCCAAGATCCAGAAGGTGGTGCTCCGCGAGTCACTCAGTTTTCCCAGATTCCCACCATTTCTGGACACAGCCTGCTTCAGCCCAACCAGCCAAGCCCTATTTCAAAACCTGTGAGTTCTCTAAGAGATCCAGTTTCTAAGGCTGAGAATCCAGACACATGAGAAGGGCATTGGGTTTTGTTTAATAACATGCATAGGTGGGATATAATACTCAGGAATTTTGTTTCAGGACAATGAAGATTTACAAGTATTTGGTACAAAAGGTGTTGAAAATCATTTATTTAGATTATTACAGGAAACAATCATACCTATACAGTGGTCTTCTCTTCATGAGGCTCAGAGGAGGTCTCTGTATCTCAGATTTTGAAAATGAATGTGTTGATGTGCGCACGCGTGCACACACACACACACACACACACACACATCAACAAAGTTCTGATAAACTGACACAGTCTTTGATCATTACTATTTAATGTCACCTTAAGTATAAATAAGAGAACTTGTCAAATAAGACCCTTTGAATTGAGCTATTTCTCTTGCTATTCTAAATCTTCATCTTACTGCCTTTATTTTTAAAAGACTGATTAGGGCCTGACAAAGAGAAAAGAGACATCTCTAGTCTCTATCAAGACTTTCTAAAGCAGTTACCCTATTTGACAGATGGAGAATCTAAGGCCAAAAAGGTTAGGTCGCTTGCCCAGTGAAGAAAAGATGGAGCTGAAATTTGAACCCAGAGATTTGACTCCTAAATGCAGTAGCCTAAAAATGATGTTCAATACTTCCCACACCCTATTGAGACATGTTGAGCCGAGGGAGAACCGAGGGACTGGAAATACGAAGAAAGGCGAATGTTCCCAGTGGACTTACCTGGGTGAATTCAATCCACCTTTATTCATGTTGGAGATTATCAGTTATATAACTGTCCCCCAGACAGGGCAATCTCTTCCCTGATAGTATCCATACCCGGAAAACTTGAATCCCAGGGTGTTCAGATTTCTGCACTGCTGATCTCCCGGGACATATTTAGACAGGACCCGATGCCCTGGATACAACCCCTCGACTTGGCACCATGGAGCTCGGAGGGGCCTTCACCATCTTCCTGGCACTCTGCTTATCCTGTCTGCTCATCCTCATTGCCTGGAAGCGGATCAACAAGGGGGGAAAGCTACCGCCAGGCCCCACACCGATCCCCTTCCTGGGGAACCTGTTACAGATCCGCACAGATGCCACCTTTCAGTCTTTCATGAAGGTGAGTCTAACTCCTCTCTTAGAGCTGGGAGCAACTAATTCTACAGACAAATGCATGCATAACCTTCTAACTTCTAAAACACAGGCCCTTAGAAACACAGACTCGATGAACCTCAGAATTCTGACATTTCAGAATCTTAGTTTCTTGGAAAGACAGACTCCTAGGACATTGGAAATGAAGACTCGCACAGTTTCAGGACTTAGGACTCACCATACCTTATTCGGTGGTTCTCAACCTTCCTAATGCTGGAACCCTTTAATATAGTTCCTCATGTTGTGGTGACCCCCAACCATAAAATTATTTTTGTTGCTACTTCATAACCATAATTTTGCTACTGTTATGTCTTAGGCAACCCCTGTGAAAGGGTCATTCGACCCCCAAAGGGGTCGCGACCCACAGGTTGAGAACCTCTGCCTTATATCCTTAAACACAACTCTTGCAGTCTAGTTATCTTAGAACTTTGAGACTGTGTCATGAAATCTTAGGATTCTAGAAAGTTAACATTTTAGAGAGCGGAGCATGGATTTGGGGGTTTATCTCATCCAGGTCCATCATTTCACAGATGAGGAAACTAAGGCTTGTGAAGGTGTTGGGGAGTCTTGCTCAAGATCACAAGAGCCAAGGATTTTTTCTCAATAGTCTTTCCAAGCTCAGGACTTATCTTTATCTGTTATTGCCACATTTGTATTCCCTTGAAATCTCCACTTCCTAAAATCCTTAATTGGTCTATCCTTAGCACTCCAATCAGCCCCATTCTTTTGTGTCTTCCTTCACTCCCAGCTCAGGGAGAAATATGGCCCAATCTTCACCGTGTACATGGGTCCCCGGCCAGTAGTTATTTTATGTGGACATGAAGCAGTGAAGGAGGCCCTGGTAGACCGAGCAGATGAGTTCAGTGGCCGTGGAGAATTGGCTTCAATAGAACGAAACTTCCAAGGTTATGGTAAGAAACAATAACAATGAAGACAAAATGATTGCAATGTACTTCCTATCCCAGGCTCTTTGGATGTACTTTATGTCAATTATTGCATTGACTCCTTTAAGTCAATGTCTTACTAATATTGCAAATGGGTAAGCTGAGGCTGAGAAAGGTTAGGTGACATCACACAGTAAGTAGTAGAACAATTTTATTTTGAACCTAAACCATCTAACTCTAGAGTATCTGCTGAATTAATTCTGTTCTTATTTTTAATGGATTAGTTTACACTGAGTACCCACTGAAGCCTTCATAGCAAACTTATTTCTTATTTTCTTATACATACACAAGGACCCAACCCATAGGTCCCTGCCCTCTAGATTTAGGTAGATACCTTTCTAGTGTTACCTATACATACAACTCTAACTGCCCACACCTTTCAATTCCAAGCAGCCTCATACCATTCTTTCCATATCCCATCCATCTATCTCTCCTATACTTTTCCTTCCATTCATCCATTTTCCATTGATCCATTTATCCACTAAAAAATTAATTCATTAATTAGATTTTCTATGCAGATATCTTTCTATCCAATTTATCTATACATCTATCAATTACCTTTCCATTTACCCATCTATCCACCATTTCATCCATCCATTCATGTATCCTTCCATCATTTATTCATCTATTAATCTTTCTGTCCATACATCTTTCTTTTTTTTTTATCCTCACCCGAGGACATTTTTCCATTTTTTGTACAGATAGAGTGGGAGGAAGAGAGAGGAAGAGAGAGAGAGAGAGAGAGAGAGAGAGAGAGAGAGAAACATCAACGTGAAAGGGACACATCAAGTGGCTGCCACCCGCATGACCAACCAGGGCCGGGGACAAACTGCAACCGAGGTACATGCCTTTAGCGGGAACCGAACCCGGGTCTCTCAGGACCGCAGGCCGACGCTCTAACCACTGAGCCAAACTGGCCAGGGCTGTCCATACATCTTTCCAACCTTTAATCCATCCATTTCAAACCATCCATAAACCCTTCACTCATCCATTAGGTCTTTCATCGCATCCATCTATCAGTCATTCCTGTCACACACTCTTTCTTCCTTTCGTTAATCTACCCAAATCATTCATTAAATTTCCAAACATTAATTCACCAATCCATGCACATCTGATAATTTCTAAATATTTCTTACTACTTGATAACTCCTTTTGTGTAAGTATATTGATGTATAGGTGTGAACTTCTGTGTACATGTATGTACATTTCTAAAGAATTCAAATGGTGTATAAAAAACAGAAGTAGTCTTCCCATTCCAGGGTACTCTATAAGGCATTCTATCTCCACTTCCCTCCACATTCCTATGTATCCATCCCATTCATGCAGTTCTAGGTCTTTATTCTATAGGAAACTCTCTTTGATCTCCTCAATGACTCTCAGTCCTAGACTGATTTTGAGGGTCCATATGTAGGAAACCTCAGTCTCCCCATCAAGGCTGGGGCCTTGAGAGTGGCTTCCCTAAAAGCAGATTCTAGAGTTTTCATAATGTGTCTGCATCCCTGTCTAGTAAAGAGTTGGACACAGGAAGGGCAGGGGAGGCAGAAGCCTGACACAGCGATTCCGGCAGGTGTAGCTCTGGCTAATGGAGAACGATGGAAGATTCTCCGACGCTTCTCCTTGACCATTCTTCGGGACTTTGGGATGGGAAAGCGCAGCATTGAGGAGCGGATCCAGGAGGAGGCTGGCTTCCTGCTGGAGGAGTTACGGAAGACAAAGGGTATGGGGGCCTCGAGGGGGTGAGGGAGCTACGAGGTGACTCAGTCAATGTAGAGTGCTCAGTCATGAGAAGCTAGGCCTTGGTGGCAGAAAGCTCTAGAACAGGAGAGGATGAAAAAGATTGAGAATTTACTGAAATTTCCAGCCAGATTCCATATCAAAAGTTATCATATAGGAGGAGCCTTGGAGACCACTTGTCCAGAAACCTTAATCAGTGGAGTTTGTGAGCTCCTCATATCATATGCAGACTTGGGCAATATGTCAGTTTGTGCCTTTTGCTGGTGACAGGACCAAATTTAATTGCATATATATGCAAATACACACACAATTGTGGTAAAAAAAAAAAAAGAAAGAAAGAAAAGAAAAACATATAACATAAAATTTTACCATCCTAGCCATTCCTAAGGGTGCTTTTCAGTAAATACATTCACATTATGATGAAACAGAGCTTCAGAAATTTTTCATCTTGAGAGTCTGAAACTCTATACTCATTTCATTATATATATATTTTTTAATCCTCACCTGAGGACATTTTTTTCCATTTTTTGTTCAGATAGAGTGGGAGGGAGAGAGAGAGAGAGAGAGAGAGAGAGACATTGACGTGAAAGGGACACATCTAATGGCTGCCACTAGCATGACCAACCAGGGCCGGGGACAAATTGCAACCGAGGTACGTGCCCTTAGTGGGAACCGAACCCGGGTCTCTCTGGACCACAGGCCAATGCTCTAACCGCTGAGTCAAACTGGCCAGGGCTCATTTCATTATATTTTGAAAGAAATCTGGTCCCCACCCAAAAATAAGATCTGGGAACCACTGCAGTCTCGAGAAAAAACACATAGGGGGTGAGAAAAAAAAGGTGAATAGTTGAGACAGAAATAGTGATAATTTCTCTAAGTCAGACATTCTTCACTTGGGCTCCACGGATGTTAAATAGTCTACATAAAAGCTTTGAATGTTCATGTATCCCCAGAGATTATTTGCAAAATTGTATATTTGTGAATATGGGCATTGTTCTGGGGAAGTCATCCCCAAATCCACTGTCCTGACAAGCATCCTGTTTTATGATGCTGAGGCCAAGGGCAGGATTTTCTTAATAGGTCCAATGGAATGATTGGTAAAGACAGACTCCAGCCATCCATTTTTTAAAAATGTATCCCTTACAGAGACTCCTTTCCCAAATCTGTGACTCTCCAGCACAAACATAACTAAATGCTCATACCAAAAAGTAACGACTGAGTTCCACCAGCATCTGTTTACTTCATGGCAAAGACTGTGTTAAGCATTTTACGTGGATCATTACATTGAATCCTCATAAACGAGTGCAGTGGTAATTAAATCAATTTGCATATTGGGAATCAACTCAAAACACAAAAATGAGATAACTAACGTGTGCTATTAGGCAGCGGAGCCAGGACTCATATCCATGACTGAATGATTCCACATCCCATGCTCCTGATTATTGCCTCCAACATGGACAGTTTCCATCCCCCAGGTGCGCCCACCGAACCCACTTTCTTCTTGAGCCGCACTGTCTCCAACGTCATCAGTTCCGTCGTCTTTGGAAGCCGCTTTGACTATGAGGACAAGCAGTTCCTGAAGCTTCTGCAGATGATCAACCAGAGTTTCATTGAGATGAGCACACCCTGGGCACAGGTGCCCACCTGCCACCTCTCTGCCCACCCCCCAATCCAAATAACTAATTACCTGCCTATCTTGCTTGATACTCCCCACAACCTCGGGAGGCAAGTTTCAATATGCCCTGAGTCTCCAAAAAGCAAATGGACTCACTTAGTTCCCAGACCCAGGACTGGATGTTGAGTCCAGCTATCCAACTCCAGATTCAGCCCAGGATGGCGTTGGGTGCCCATTGCTGACACACCCCCTGTGCCCATTCCCCACAGCTATATGACATGTACTCCGGAATCATGCAGTATTTGCCAGGAAGACACAATCGCATCTACTACTTGGTAGAAGAGCTCAAGGACTTCATTGCCTCCAGGGTCAAGATCAACGAGGAGTCCCTTGACCCACAGAACCCCCGGGACTTCATTGACTGCTTCCTCATCAGGATGCACCAGGTACCTCTTCCCCCAACCCTTTTCTCTTACCTCCTCAATTCCTAGTACCTGCAACTTGAAACTCATTTGTAGACATGGTAGAGAGGGAAAAAAAAGCAAACATTGTTTTGCATGGTGTACTTTAATTTATCGACGAGCTCTAAAGACTGTAGAAGCATAAACTCTTACACTTTTAAAAATAAACTTTGAATCTAAAATTTTTAAGAACATGGGAACTTAAAATTTTATACCTTTCTAATCACGGATGACTGATTATAACTGCCAGAGACTGAGAGCTGGAGAAAAGTAGGAGGAGTCTTTAGAGTCTTAGAATTTGAGAAGCTTAGACATATAAAGTTTTTAAACTTAAAAGTTTACATTTTAAACTTAAAAGTCATTGAGATGTAGAAATTAGAAGCTTAGTTCTTCTGTACCACAGATTCTCTGAACTAGATGTTTTAATATAAAACAGCAACACTTAAAAGTTTAAAACTATATACCTGAATGTCATAGAATATTCTAATCTGACAAGGCAATCTCTAGTTTATTCTCTTCCCACTATCCTCCTTGTTTACTCCATTCCAACCACGCTGGCCTCCTTCTTGATGTTCCTCTAACACACCAGGCACTCCCCTGCCTCAGGACCTTTGCTCTGGCTGTTTCCTCGCAGATACCCACTCGGTTTTCCCATCTATTGTGTTTTCACTCAGGTCTACCATACACAAAAGAAAAAAAAAAAGAAGAAAATAACAACAGAGAAGGGTGATTCTATTTCTTATCCTCTTATTTTCAGGATAAAAATAACCCCCACACAGAATTCAACCTCAAGAACTTGGTCCTCACCACTCTCAACCTCTTCTTTGCTGGCACAGAGACTGTAAGCTCCACGCTGCGCTACGGATTCCTGCTGCTGATGAAGCATCCTGAGGTGGAAGGTGAGTGTCCACCTGAGCTGGCGACTCCCACTCCCACCAGGAAAGAAGACATAACCTTGAAACCTTGGAATCCTATGGCCTTAGCCTCTTTGTACCTTAGAATCTCAGAATACAGAATCTTAGGATCTAAGTCTTAGAAGGCCATTTAATTTAATCTTCTCCTCGGTGCCTGTGTTAGTTGCCTATGGCTGTTGTCATCAACTGCCAGAAACTTAGTAGCGTAAAGCAGCATAAATCTATTATCATGTAGTTCCAGAGCCCAGAAGTTCAAATAGGTGTTCACTGGGCTGAATCAAGGTAGAACCTGATTCCTTGCTGTTTCCAGGTTCTAGAGCTGTATTCCGTGCTTTCCTGAGCTCATGATCTTCCCTCCATCTTCACATCTTGATTATGCTGTTACATCTCCTTCTCTGACTCTGACGCTACCGCCTCCTTCTTACACAGGCACTTCTGATTATATTTAGAGCCAACCTTGATCATTCTGGATCATCTCCTCATCTCAACATCTGTAATTTCATTATATCTACACAGTCCTTTTTGTCAAATAAGGTCATGTTCACAGATTCCAGGGATTAGAGGTGGATATCTTTGATGGCCATTATTTAACTGACGATAGCACTAGAATCAACTATTCATTGGAATCTGGTCTAGTGAAGTAACTCCAGCAATGAGGAGCTAATTTCTTGCTTAAAGAAAATCCCCAATTTTGGCCTGTCTTCCTTCTAATGCAGTTCAAAACAAACCAACAATTTTCTACTACAGACGAATGGAAAGACTAACTTGTTTCCACTCAGATTCTTAATTTTTTTTCCATTTTTTTATTTTACAGAGAAAGAAAATGAGAGGGAGAGAGAGATGGAAACATTGATGAAAGAGAACACCGACTGGCTGCCTCCTGCATGCCCCACACTGGGGATGGGCCCATAACCTGGGCATGTTCCCTGACCGGGAATCGAACCGGTGACCTCTTGGTGCATGGGTCGACGTTCAACCACTGAGCCACACCGGTCGCACTCCACTCAAACTCTTAGTCTCCTCCATTGTCCAAGTCATCTTTTACTAATCTAAGAATTCAGATATGTAATGGACACTTACTATGTGCTGGGAACTGTCCTAGTTACTTACATCTTGGATTTTATGCAAATTTTACAATTCTAAGAGCTTGTCACATCTATTTTGAAAAAAAGAGAGTCTCAGAAGGTAAAGTCATTTGCTCCAAGGTAACTCATCCAGGAAGTGCGGAGAGGGGTGACTGCACCGACAGTGTTCTTAATCACTGTCACATAATGACTATCATTTGCTTTAATCCTGACCTAGTTATCTATTGTGCCTTTTTCCCATCCTGTCAAAACTCTGGGTATGAAAGCCCAGCTGGGACCGGGACACTGCCCTGCTCATCAGCCTTCCATGGATCCTTGGTTTTTTCAAGATGAAGACCAAATGTCCCAAATGGCATTCAAGGCTCAGGGCTATGTGCCTCCCAATGATCTGATGAGTATTCACTAACCCCACCAACGTGTCACGTGTTACAAATAAAGAGGCAATCCAAACACACGTGGCCTGCTCCCTCGGGGTCCAACCCTGGTTCCTAAAACACACCCTGTATCCTTGTCTGTTGTGTTTTTGGGCCTCTTCCAGGGAAGATCCATGAAGAGATTGACCAGGTGATTGGATCACATCGGATGCCAAGTGTGGATGACCGAGTCAAGATGCCCTACACAGATGCCGTGATCCATGAGATACAGAGACTGACAGATATTGTGCCCATGGGTGTTCCACACAATGTCATTCGGGACACTCATTTCCGAGGCTACCTTCTGCCCAAGGTGGAGTACACCCTCTCTGGCACCCCTCTCTCCTCCTGGTCCCTTACCCCATGCTCCAGCACCGATTTCTCTTCACTGCCCCCATTTCCACCACAGGGCACTGACGTGTTTCCCCTGCTTGGCTCAGTCCTCAAAGACCCCAAATACTTCCGCTACCCAGATGCCTTCTACCCCCAACACTTCCTGGATGAGAAGGGCCGCTTCAAGAAGAATGAAGCCTTTGTGCCCTTTTCTTCTGGTAGGTTTCTGTGGTCTGAGTGTCCCCCCCAGGAAGATGCTTGATGTGTCCTGTGACCATTGGTCTGGATTAGGTTCGGATCTGAAAGGGGAGTTGAGTGCTATTTCAAAGAATCCTAGAATCATCAAATATTAGAATCACTGACTCATAATTAGAAAAGTAATAGCACTATGTAGGGATCAGCAAACTTTTTCTGGGAAGGAACAAATAGAAACTATTTTAGGCTTGGCCAGTCATATGGTCTCTGTCTGAAATAGGCAGTGTTAACTAGTCACATACACCGTTGTACTACAGAAGTGAGCATGGTTAGGAAACAGGTCGCAACTCCACCACTTACAAATGGTGGGGACAATGCGGGGGGGGGTACTTCAGCTCCCTGTCTGTAAAATGGAGATTAATCTCTCCAAACCATCGGAAGGGTGACTGACACTATTTAAGTGTGTGCTTTTGTTTTCTTCCCCCTCACCAGTATCTGGTACCAACTAGGCTTCTGGTAAACATTTAAGAAATTGAAATGCACAGAATCTTCATATTCGAGGTTCCTTTACCACCATTCCATCTTGGAATCTGATGGAATCCAAGCCATCCAGAGATGTGTCTGCCACGTGTTGAGTGACAGATCCTAGCTGAGCACTGACTCTAGGAACCCACTGCGTCTTTTTAATAAGCCTATCAAGTGGTGGTATCATGACCCCAGAGATGCCGAGGAAGTAGATGAGGCTCAGAGGGATGGTTGGGCCAGAAGGCTCCCCATGACTCCACTATGCCAGTGCAATTGTGACTGACCCTCCTGTCCCCCACTGTGCTCACAGGAAAGCGTGTCTGCCTTGGCGAGGCCATGGCCCGCATGGAACTCTTCCTCTACTTGACCTCCATCCTTCAGAAGTTCTCCCTACGCCCGCTGGTGCCACCTGCTGACATCGATGTCACCCCCAAGATCTCGGGCTTTGGCAACATCCCCCCAACCTATGAGCTCTGCTTGGTGGCTCGCTGAGAGCGCCCCCTACTGGGTGTGGAAGGAACCATCGGAGAAGAGAGCTCTGCCCCAGTGTTCAGGGGCACCCCTCTCATCTCCCTAAATCCTCACAATCCTAAGAGAAGGCACTATTAGAGGGGACTACAGGTCAGCGAGGATCACCTGAAAATATGCAGTGTGAATTAGTAACATATCTTCTACACTAGTAGAAAAGCCACGCCCTGTCTGACATTTCAGCAAAAGCCTGCAGATTTTTCCTTCCCTTGACCACCTCCGGCTAGGTTTGTATCTGTATCAAATTTTTGTTGTAGATCCCATGTCTTTATGGCGTTCCTTTGTCTTTTCCCTGATCATGACCAAAATGTGGGTCACAATCCTTTTTCTTGATTCTCATATCCAACCCCCCTCAAAAAAAAAAAAAAAAAAAAGGCATCGAGGAGTTCAATACTGTTGTGTGTGGCATATTTATTGTGTAGTGTGTGGGTGAGTTCAATGGGCACTACAAACAACTTAAAATGGCCTTTATTACTACTTTGTGATTAAGTATTGCTTCTCCCAGCTGACTGCCAGAGATTTCCTACTGGTTGGGCCACCGTTATAATACCCCAGCCTCAACCATCTTGCTGGCTCGTTACCTCTCCCTCCCCAGCATCTCTTTTTTCTAAACCTGCTTCCCTGATTGTTCTTATTATAACTTCCAGTCTCAATACACCCCAACCCATTTTGAAGAATAAATGGCCCATAGCTCTGTAATTCCATTTCTAAACTCCACTAACTTGCTCAGTGATTAAAGCTTTCCCTTGTCACCCTGCTGATTTGGCTCAGCGGTTAGAGCATTGGCCTGCGGTCGAGAGAGACCCGGGTTCGGTTCTCACTAAGGGCATGTACCTCGGTTGCAGTTTGTCCCCGGCCCTGGTTGGAGTCGTGCAGGAGGCAGCCACTCGATGTGTCCCTTTAGCGTCGATGTTTCTTCCTCTCTCCCTCCTGCTCTAGCTGAACAAAAAAATGGAAAAATGTCCTCGGGTGAGGATTAAAAAAAAAAAAGCTTTCCCTTGTCATTCATTTTTATTCAACCAATATTTATTAAATATCCAAGGTGGACCAGCACACTCCTCAGGTGCTTGGGACCTATCAGTGAACAAGACAGATGAGATTCTGCCCGTATGGCGCTTCCATTCTAATTGGGAAGGTAGATCATTAAAGATAAACATAATAAATCAATGATATGTTAGAAAAGCAAACTAGGGAAATGGAATTGGGAATTCCAAGATTGGAATTTTAAATGGGTGGTTTCATAAGGCAATGATGAGCAAGCCATACAGATATCTGGACATGAGTGTTCCTGGAAGAACAATTAAAAAGCGCAGAGTCGCCCTGGCCGGTTTGGCTCAGCGGTTAGAGCGTCGGCCTGCAGTCCTGAGAGACCCGGGTTCGGTTCCCGCTAAGGGCGCGTACCTCGGTTGCAGTTTGTCCCCGGCCCTGGTCGGTTGTGCGGGTGGCAGCCACTCGATGTGTCCCTTCACGTCGATGTTTCTCTCTCTCTCTCTGTTCCTCTCTCTCCCTCCCACTCTACCTGAACAAAAAATGGAAAAATGTCCTCGGGTGAGGATAAAAAAAAAAAGCGCAGAGTCTAGGACAGAAGGCTGTGTGTGTTCATGAGTCCGGGAGGAGACACATGTGGCTGGAGTAGGTGGAGGAGTGAGAGTCTGTGAGAGTCAAAGAGATGAGGGTAGAGGGCTCAAGTGCCGGACTGAATGGGAACTTGAGTGAGATGGAGGTTTCTTTGCGGGGGGTGGGGGGGGGGAGCATAGATAACATTTATTGAAAAGTTTTAAATGGCTCACTTTAGCTGTTTTGTAGTGAAAACACTGAAGGAAGGGGTGAGGCAAAAGAAAGGACCAATTAGGAGGATACTACAATGTTTTTAATCAACCCAAAAAAGCTTTGGCTATTTTATTTATTTTTATCCCACTCGAGGACATTTTTTGATATTTTGTTCAGATAGAGTGGGAGGGAGAGAGAGAGAGAGAAACATCGACGTGAAAGGGACACATCAAGTGGTTGCCACCCACACAACCCAACCAGGGCCGGGGACAAACCGCAACCGAGGTACGTGCCCTTAGCAGGAACCGAACCCGGGTCTCTCCGGACCGCAGGCGGACGCTCTAACCGCTGAGCCAAACCGGCCAGGGCAGCTCTGGCTGTTTGAAACAGTAAAGGCTGCTGGCTATTGGAAAGAGAATGACTAGCACACAAAATCGGTGGGAAGTCAGGCCAAGAATATGAGCAGGAAAGGTAAAAAAGAGGCAGCGCCACTGGGACGTCAGCCAAGGGCTGCTGCTGCCTTTGCCGCCCGCCCCCCACCCACCTAGGGCCCTGACACCAGGCCTCGCTGTGGACAACTTCCGGATTGTGCCTGTGTTTATGTTGTCATTTCCTCAAACGATATCCAGGAAGGAGGACCCAATTAGCCAAGCCATTGACTGGTGTTAAAGCCTTAGGTTTCAGGGTGTGCTGGCCAAGATTTAATGACCCTGAAGATGTAATGGCCCCTTCAACTGGTGGGGTGGGAGGCAAAGACTTTCCACTGCTGAAGAGTCACACAACAGGGGAACTTCCAAAACTGGAAGAGAGTTTTGAGACTGAGAATGTAATAAACAGCAAATGCCATGATGCTCATTACGGAAATTGGGCCCCCTGGGAAGCAGAGGCTTAGATGGAGCTAGGAGTGCATAATTTAATGGGGTGGGGGAGTGGAGTAATGAGTGTTAAATACAAAAGAGGAAGGAAGCAGAATGGGTCAGTAAAAGCCTTCAGAACAGGATGCAGATTTGACACACATCAAAGGAAAGACCAGAAGCAGAATTGGGCAGGGAGATACTCAGACCGCCATGCAGAGTTTCAGTTTATCCAATGGTACTTCTAGAGTGAAGATCGCTGTTAGGGGGTGTCTCACGTTGGGCAAGAAGTGGTCATGCCCTCAACCCCACCTATTCTTAGTCGCTGGCTTGTAAAGGACAAACACATGCTATGTGAACGTACAGTAAAAATGTGTCCCATTAGGCAGACCTTACCCCTAGAGTTTAAGAGAATAGTAAGAACTAGCAGGCAGAGTTAATAGATAACCATTATATTGTAGAGATAAATAACTATTGCATTGTGCAAACCGTCTCTCAGGCATAACGGCTAACTGCAAATATCTGCTTCTGTACGTGCTTACTTGTTCGCAAACCTTTAGCCCAAATTCCTTAAAAGGGGTTAAGACAACTATATAAGCAGCCCTCCCCCTGAGCTCGGGGCTGCTCTCTCCTCTGCGTAGGATGGGACAGCCTCCGCGCGGCTAATAAAGCTCTCCTAATCTGAACCCAGTTTGGAGTCTGAGTCTGGTCTGTCTCGTTGGTCTACAACAGGCTGCGCTTCCTTGGAAGAGCTGGACTCTGCTCCAGGCTGAAGTGGATCCTGAAGGCGCTGCAGCTGGGGGCTATCAGCTCGCTGCACTCCTTGCAGCTGAATGGCAAGGTCTTTCCTGAAGGGAGATCTGAGTGTCACATCTCTGTGCCCGCTACTGACAAAGGTACAAATATACATCATTAAATCTTTGATGCTCCTTCCATAAGCATTGAGTTTCAGAACTACAGATACCCTTATAAGGGTACAGTCTGTCAACAAATGCATGTTGGCACCAATTCAATGACTACAGAAATCCCCAATTTGGGGTGTGCTGAAGAAGAAAATCTTATGTAACTGCTCACTAGTGTTATGGCTGAATTGTGAGACAGCGAGGCTGGCCAACAGCATGCCTGGGAGTGGGCTCTCAGGTGCGGCAGCTCTGAGACCTCTGCTCTGCCTGCTCCCTTCTGCACTGCTCTGTTGTGGCAGGAAGTCCTCAGTGTTTCAGCTCCAGCTAGAAAAATGCAGGCGACAGCCTTCCACGGAAAGAGTGTGGTTTCCTAAGCGGAGGGAACTGCCTTACATAGACAGAAGTTCCCGCTTCTGGTCCCTGATTGGTTTGCCTTATGTAAATGAGCACTCCAAATTCTCACAGTTTGATTGGTCCAGAAAAGCTCTGTCCTGATTTATCAAAGTGGAGCTACTCTGATTGGTCAGTGAACATGCTAATGGAGATATAGCTGCACAGTTCCAATTGGATGGGGAAAGTCTTAGTCCTGTTGGTTGAAATACAATTCCAGCAACTCCTTTATCCATGTTGAAACAGACGCAGGAACAGCTGAAGGCAGGTGGTTCAGTGCAGGGTCTCCCCGATGTGCAGCTTGCCTGAAAGGCCCCTGTTTAGCAATGGCTGCTAGGCTCTGTTTGTAAATTCAAACCCAGCTAGCCACCAAAAGCCCTTCTTGGTAGGCATCTTCTTTCTCATAGTCAACAAGTTCCATGGTCATCAAATGTTTTTGGCCTTGAAAACTTTCTCAAAGTATCTTATGTACAAGTCAAATATACAAAATAGGAGAGGTAATTCCTAACCTTTCTCTCTAGGGAAAGCATGAGGAGCTCTTGACTCTCAAAAGAGCCTTCACTTTCACTGATGAAAGCGCTTTAGAAAGGTCCTGAAAATTCTGAGAGCTAGAAGGCATTGCAGTCATTCAACACACACTGTTTTTCTAAGTGAGGACTTATGAAGCAACCTGATGATGTAACAGTGACCAGGATAGATTCATTCACTGCCCACATGGGGCTTGCAGTCCAGCAAAGAAGACCGACCCATCTCTGGACAGTGAGAGTCCAGAATGGCCAGAACTCTGATAGGAGCACAGAATATAGTGTCGAAGGCTATAATGAGATAAGAGATGCCAAAATGGTTTGGGGCAACACCAGGTAATAGTAGACAGGTTTGAGAGAATTGATATTCCTTTTATTTTTTTGGAAGTAATTTGTTTTACTGGAGTAAATTTTTCTCAAAAGGTAGGTGAATGAACCCTGGCCCATTTGGCTCAGCAGTTAGAATGTCGGCCTCCAGACCAAAGGGTCTCAGGTTCAATTCCCAGTTAAGAGCACGTACCTGG